CTGAAACGAGATACATTAGTGTTCAGTAATCTGATGGACTGATCATTGTTAAAATTGCCTCTAATATCATTGCAACTGACAGCTTACATCCAGGTGTCAATAATTTATACATTCATACATTTACGCAGTTTAGTGTCTAAAGGACATGTATTGTGATTACATTGCTATAATAACAGAATCTTCAAACCAAGTTTGAAGCAAGTTTTTTTTTTTTGTATTTCATGATTTGCATTTTGGAATGCATATGAACATGTATATATTGTGATTACCACATTGTTGTAAATCAAACTGAGAATTACCCCAACAGGTCTTGATATTTCGGTTATCTCATTTTTTTTCTACAGTTATATCAACATTTGGTAATGGTTTATTTTACAGTATGTCACCCAAATACAGTACAGTTTTACATTCATTTCTTAATGAGGAACTGTTCTTCATTTATGGGGTATTGAGTGACTGGCAGAAAATGCATGTCCCTCCCTCCACCATAAATCAATTATTAGATTTTAGAAACTTACCCTCTGATGTTCTAAAATAAAAGTTGAAGACAAAATTCTGGCGCTGAAAAAAGCTTCAGTTTTCCCTCTTGTCCTGCATGCTCATTAGTTCACGTGAATGGTTAATTTATAGGAAACTTTTATATGACATGTAGAATAAAGTGATTTTGATGAAATATACTATTTTTTCTGATTTTGTTTTCTTCCTGATGGAAGCGTTTGTCACACGTGATTTATCCAAGGACTGTCGTAAATCTGAAAATCTATGAAATCAATCAAATGAAATATCGATGAAAATTTGTGTTTTTACAGTTTCTGGCTGTGATAAATTTTGTAATATTGGCAATTTTCCAAGAAAATATGCCTTCCAAACTGTGGGCGGGTTTGAAAGGCATGTTTTCTTTAAAAATTGTAAAACTTTTTTTGCCCAAATTTGGAATATTGCAAAAAAAAAAATTGAAAGCATGTGTTCTTTGAAAAAAATCAGCTGGAAAGTAAATACAAAATACAGCCATTTAAATTTGGATGCTTCTCCCCTAAACCAAAATAAAATCATTTAAAGGTTATTACTGGAAAGCTTTCTCCTCATTTATGTTGGAATAGTGGAATGGATTACATACATTGCACATTTTGCATGTTCAGATGACCTGCTGTGCTCTGATTTAAGACTCTTAGGGTTACAGAAGCAGTTCATTGGAATCAGTTAATCTGAGGCATATTAAGTGAACACCTATCCTTATAATTACTACAAATGAAACTGCTCGAAACTTCCAGACAGTTATTTAGAAGTTAAGAGTCTGCCCAAAACCAGCGGTCCTTAGGATGTATGAGGAGAACCTATAAAACAGGTAAATTCATGATCCATTTAACAGTGAAATCTGTTGATCAGACATCAGCTCCACATGAAATTAAGGTGAGGCTGGAAGGACAGAAAAATCCGGTCATGTTTTATCTTCAACAATAAAATTATTATCAGTGTAGTTAAACACATAAGAAGATGAGGCCGAACATGGATTAAATAATCTGGGTTAACTACATGTAAACCAACCAAAATGATCTAGCGAATTTAGTCCCTCAGTTAGACTGTATTTCATGATGTAGCCTGACTGATCATTTATATACTGTAGGTATTTTATTCTTTATTGTGAAAGTTAAGTTGTGAAGGTCAATTAGGCCATGTGATATGTCTTAAGTTTTACATGTTCTCAACGTATCAATATTTCTCTATTGTAGTATTTAAGGAAAGGACCATATCACTTCACTGGTTACCTGGGAGTTTTAAAGCCTTGATCAGACAGCCTCATGCCTGTGATCTGCTTACTCCCACAGGGAGTTCCTCCGGTGGGGTCCTATGAATGGTTCCAAAATCTCTGTCACTAAAGGTGACTGTGCCTTTGCTGTCAGAACCCATCCGCTGTGCAACTCAGAACTCAGCATCTTCTTTTAAATCTCTTATCTCATGTCTTTTTTCTTAACTGAAGGTATTTATTTTTGTAATTATTCATTTCATCTTGTTTTATATCTTGTGTTTTGGAATTACTTTTCTATTTGTTTTTAATGTAAAGCACTTTGTAACTTTGTTTTGAAATATATAAAATGTTATCACTACTTAAACGGAACTGAAAAATCCAGGCTTGTTTTAAATCATTGACTGTTAAGTCACGTTAATGAAGTTGTCTGCATATGAAGAACAGGGCCCTGGCACTAGCTTTTCCCATACTGATCACATATGTCTAACAGATTATACTTACAGTGCTAAAAGCATGGAGGGTAAGAATGTCAATATGTTGTGTCAACAAAAGTTGGCATTAACTTTAAAACTGGTCTACGAATCAGAAACAGCAAATACACAACTAAATACATAAGGAGATCTTTGTTGATGAACACTCCACTCGCTTTGTTTTATTTTTATAATTCTCACATACTGGTTTGTAATTGCAATGTTACTACACATGCTGTGGTCCACTGCATGTCAAGTATTAGCAAGTGTAGAATTAAGACCAGCAAATAAATAAGAAAATAAAAAACAATGTGCTGTATTATGTACAATCAACTCTGCCACTTTGACAAAAGGAAAATACACAGGTGGACAGCATTTTATGGCCTCTCTATATCCATCTCTTCAAACTGCTAATATTCTGCATGCTGCACTCCAGAGATGCCTCACAGTCAGAAAGTCCAGTATGCTGCAGAGGAAAGTGCAACCAGACTGCATTTCCTGCTGGAATTAGCAGCATGGAGTCTGGGCAAAGATCTGTAAACTCTGCAAAGCTCCAATGATAAAGACATTTACATTTTTTAGCTAATTCATGAGAAATCACAAAGACTTTATATTACTGCTGATGGTCGTTTTCCAAAGCACAGCAAACTCTTTTAGGATTTTCAATAGGCAGCCATTGGTTTCCACTTGTTCTACCACAGTATGAAAATCTAACTTTTAGAGACCTGGAGCTCGACATCAATATTACATGCTCTGTAGTTCTGTAATTTACATAAGTGAGATTCGTAGTGAAGGGCAGGAAAAAGGCCAAAACATGCAAAAATACTATTATAGTCATCAATCTGTATGTTAACGGGTTAAACATTTGCAGTTGCTGCCATTCCATGCTAATCAAGTTAGCTGGCACTGTATCATGTTTCAACTGTGAAGAGGAGAGAGGAGAATTTCCTATTAGGCTCATTTAGTAGCCCCTGTTGTCTTTCAACATGGTGACATCACTACACGCCTACACAACAGAAGGACCTCAATGTCTTTTTACGTTTTAGCTCGTTGATTACATCAGACATTGTTTACATTACTGATGCCGACCATTTTACAAAGCACACTGCACTCTTTTAGGGCTCTTATGATTATTTTTGTCCCCACTCTCAGACTCTGAAAATCCCGCTTGTAAAGGCATGAAACTTGCTGGTCTTTTGTAATCATTCCATACATTTTTTTAATTGTCGTAAAAGTCTAGTTACCACTGGGTGGTAAATAAAGGTGTAAGTGCAGGCTGATTAAGCATTAACAAAAAAACAAAATGACTAAAAAGTTTAGATTTATAATATACTTATACTTTAGCATATATTTGTTACACTACTATCTTTGGGTTTTGGATAAAACCCAGATTTAGATGTCACCTTATAGATCTCCAAAATTTGTGATGGCTGTTATTCTATTTTTTTGCAATTCTGAAGACCAAACAATGAATAAATTACCATTAAACTTCAGTTAAAATCCTTGTCCCAATTAAACACCCAGTCCCTTTTACTAGCCCAGCATGGTTACACATTTTGACAAATATACACCTGTCTCAATTAGACGCATGGTCTGGTTGCCAAGCAGTTAATTTTCATAAAAGTTCCTTAAATTACGTGTCCATTCCTTGATTACACTGTAAGTTATTCATATTCCTTTAGTCCATAATGGTCCCTATATCAAAAGAATCAAAAAGGTTTTTCATAAAAATGATTCCAAGTTGTGAGTATTGTTTCAACAGGATGAAGTGCTATTGTGTTGGTATGCCAGGTGCCATAATCCTCCAGTGCCATAACCATCCTGTTGATTTCAGTGATTTAAGCAAATGATAGCCCGGGCAATTTAATGGTAATTGAAAAACATCAAGTAAAAATAAATACAGGGTTCTCACACTTTTTTATGGACAAAATTTTCAATTTTTTCCTTGACCTTTCAATGTGTGATAATAAAGTTTTTTTTCTTAGCCCACTTGGCTGGTGTTTTTAAACATGGGTTTCAAACCCTATTCAGGCATAATTTTAGCCAGCTGGCACACATGAAGGGAAAGACAAACCCAGGGAGAAAATGACAAAAACATGTGTGGTACTAAACAAAATGTTGTTTTACATCAATGCATAATAGAGCTTACATTACATCAAAAGCTGCAGAAAATTAATTTGATGTTATGCTACATTATGTGGAAGGTTAACCATGTGAGATTATTCTAACAATTTCATTATACATAACAAATACCATGACTTTTCAAAAACTTTCAATGATTTTGACTAATTCCATGACTTTTCCAGGCCTGGAAAATGTCACTGAGAAATTCCATGACTTTTCAATGTTTTCCATCACTGTGGGTAAGAAATAACAGATTTAAACTGATTTCTTAATTTGTCAGTTAGTAGACTGACATAAAATGAATCTGCATCTCTTTTGATAATTGAGTATTGGTAATTATCTGAGTTTGTTTAAAGCATAAATGCCAAACACCCCAGCTGTTGTGCCATGTGAGGATCTGATGCTTTTCTTTGTCACGTAAACAGAATATTTTTTAGTATTTCTTGGTTTTAGACTGGTAGTCAAATACTGTTCACCTTGGGTCCTGGATAGAGTGATGGGCCATGTTCTCTGCCTTCAGACAATTTATAGACAAACCATTTCTTGATTAGATGTGAAAATATTCAGCAGATTCAGCAATGTTGAAAATAATTGTCAGATGAAACCTTAAATGCATTTCAGCATTAACAACTCTGATAAAAATAAAAGCAAACATGATGTTCACTGTGATGGATCACAAACCTCAAAGTTTATTGTCATAGCATGTGGAGTAAATGGAAACCAATGGCTACCAGGAAAATAGGAAAGCATTTTAAATTCTACCATTCCACTACATGCTTTGGAAAATACCATGTGTGATCTGAAGTTATAGGGCTGAAACATGCAAAATTTAAATTTAAACTCTGTTATCATCAGAACATGTCTTTTTTTATTAAAAAAAAAGCACTTTAAAATTTGAAGTCATTATTCAATGTTATGTATGTCAGTTGGCACAATACTGAGCATGCTTTCAGTTGCTGAAAGGAGAGCAGGATTTTCAATTAGGCTTATTCAATAATCCCAGTTGCTCTGTGCTTTTTCAGGGCAGCAGTACAGAGGCTATAATCCTGCTCCAGCAGCTGGGGAGTTTCTGACTCATGACTGAAATGCAGCATCAGGCCTACCTGTACTTCAGTGATAGAATTAAACTAAAAAAGAGTGCAGTTTTGTAATCTGTCATTGTCGTGGTGAGAAACCCCTCTGACCCCACAATCAGCCTGCAGTGCTGATTAGTGGGTGTGTGACCCTCCAGAGTTTGGGGGCACTGTGGTACCCCCGCCCCCCCTCTGTCCATGACCTCTCCTGCCGTGGCCCAGGATACAGTGAGCACTGCCACACCCTTCATCATCATCCTCTCCCTCGCTTTCAGAGGACGATTCTCCAAACTGTCGGGGCTTCTCATAAATACAGCAGCCTGAAACACAACATACAAGGTTAGGATTGATCCAGGTGATCTCCATCCACAGCTGATGCCTTCACTGATTCACTGGAAGTTCGTAGTTTGAAAATCAAAAATAGAACATGACACCTTGTTCAAACACTTGTGTTCAGAAATAGTAACAAAAGGCAGTGTGTGGTAAAAATAGCTTTAAGCTGCTGTTCAATTTGATAAATTGAGTCCTGCAGCAGAAAGATGAAGAGGCAGAGTTATGTATCAGAAGCCCTATTTACACAGTGATGGCGCTATAGAGCTGCTACAAAGTCCCTTCATCATGCCTCCTTTACGTTTTTACACAGAACCAAATGATGGCGGCATCAATCCGCTCCAGTGTGTGATTTCAGAAAGCATGCTGGCATTACAGAATCAAAGGAGGCGTGACATGTAACACCACAGCGTCAGCCTCTAGTGTGACATATAATATATGCGTTGGCAGCACTTAATAACGATACCAATGGTATGACATGTCAATAACAATCATTTACTGTCTCTTTATATGGGGTCAATCTCATCCTCTGCTCTGAGGGTAAGGAGCTCCTGGACTGGTGCTGCATGATTTGATAAAAATGTGTGATTGCGATTTGAATGGACAATATCGCGATTTGCGATTGTGATTGCGATTACAATATAACACATTAATGGTATGATTAGTCTTCTTGCTTGATTCAGTGTTTCCCCTACATTATATCAGGGGGGCACTGACCTGACCTGACATAGTTATTGTTCTGGACAGTGTAAATAACCATCAACAGACAGACCACAGTCAAACACGCTGCTCACACAGCAGCGCAGCATGGCACTGTACACACAGCGGAGCGAGCCTGTGTTGCGTTCAGGCGTTGTCACGTAAATGACAAATTCCATCACGCCGTAGCACAACACAGCAGCATGTCAAGTGGGCCGAAACTGAGCAAAATTGCTCAGTTTTTCATGTGTTATTATATAGTTTGTTACGGAGTCCGTGATTTCCCCGTGACACTTACAAATGTTTGCGTAATTGTGCTCTGTTGTTTTATGAGGCTCTGGCGGCTTTCAGTTGTCTCTTTGTCTTTAACGTTACATGGCTCGGCTTTCTCTCGCATGCATTCCTCCTACTTTTCTCTGTGCTGTCTCAAGCGCTGATATAGATTGGTCATGTTGCCGCGGGACGTGGCGACTTTAACTTTCAAACTTTTACACAGCACGTCTTTCTGTTAAACACCGCCGTACCTGAATCCAAAGTATCGCCACGTAATAGACGTTGCGTTTTTTCCGCCACCAACTCAGCCTGTTCATGGTCATGCTCATGCTCTTCTTCAGCGTTTGTGTTGGTTACTGCTGCACGCCGGCTGGTCACCTGAACATACGTGCTGCACACACCAGGATACCTTGTGTGCGTAATGTCAACAAACTCCACACACTACAGGAGAGGTAGTCACTTTCACAGGCACACATGTTAACATTTATTTACATTAAATTGCAAATTGCAGTTTTTTATGCGGTTATGTAATCGCACAGCCTGATATTGTGATTGCAATTAGATTAACCGTGCAACACTATCCTGGAACTCATTGTTTTGTGGACATTTACGCAGCTGTTCTTCTTCTTTGAGTTAGCTGCTAACAGCTACTTTTGTAAAAATCTCCCTTGGTGGGTCGTATGTAGGGATAGACCGATATGGATTTTTTAGGGCCTATGTCGATACCGATTTTTTTCCATCACCCTTAGCCGATGACCGATTATGGACTGCAGATTTTCTTGAGCCGATATTTGGGGCCAATACTGCTTTTGCTCCCTCAATTTACATAAAAAAAAAATGACACAATGATAACAAATATTACAGGTCTCAAGTTTAAAATAAGAAACATTTATTGAACAGTAAAAAATACTAAAACAAGATGGAAAGTTGAGGTAGAACAGGTAGAATATTATTATTATTATACATTCAAATAAAAAAGAGTTCAGTGCTCTTAAATCTTCCAGTAATGTCTTTATAAAATAAACAAATATTTAAGCTGAAGCATAAATAAAACAACAACTACTGTACACAGTAGGATTCAACAGCTTTGTTCAACTTAACCACATACTTTCAAATGAAAAAAAGTGCCAGGGAAAAATAAATCCGCAAACCCACACACGTATCGGCCGTTGCTGATACAAGTAAAAAACTCAAATATCGGCCCAATATATCGGCCAGCAGATGTATCGGTCTATCCTTGCGCATCAACACGTCAAAAATGTCACACCTATCCTGCTGGCTGTCCTGTTTATACAGACACCGTTTTGGCGCTGTTACTACCTCTCCTGGTGGCTTAAAGGTGAGACCGCGCTTTCCCCCCGTTCCTCAACTGTACTTTATATACAGCATGGCAAGGCCGCATATTGGCATGAAATTTCCGCCTTAAACAGGCATTGTAAAAAGAGGCTGAAGAGGTTATTTAAATTTCAATGTGAATCATACACCATGTGTGTAGAAGGAGATTAAGGCCATGTACAAATTAAATATTTGAGTTATAACATCAATTGCATTCTGAGGAGGGAGTCAGAATACTGAGATGAAACAATTTTGAGATTTTTCATATGGTCCTCATGCACCATACAACACCTTTAAAGCTACTCTTACCTTTCTTGCATTTCGTTACGTGAGCGGTTACGTCAGTCCAGTCGGAGGCCTCCACGTGGGAAGGACAGACAGGATGCTCGGCCAATCATTGCATTTGGTCCGAATGCAATGATTGGTCGGAGTTTTCTTAGAACCACATGAGAATGGTATAATTATGAGTTTTTATCTCTGGTGGAATTCACTTAGATTTTAGTGTGCCATCAGCTTATTAATAGCATTTTAACCTAAACAAAGAAAACTGTAAAATTTCCAGAAAGGTTAGTGTTGCTTTAATCCCTAAGCATTCTTTACTCAGTTTTCACTCTATGCTCTATAATGTACAGGCTTATGGCATTGTCACTACATGTCTAAGCTATTTTATTCATCCCATATATTAGTTCAATTACTGTGTCTTTCATGTGTATTAATGGACAGAGGAGTGTCTGTGTTCCAGGGATATAGGAACAGTGCTGAGGGACATTCTGCGCCTTGGTGATATTAAAAAAAAATTGTGCAAAATTTAAAAAAAAATATACATACACATGTGAGTTCTGCTTTACTTATTTCTATGTGAGCTCAAAAACATTTTTTGAACTTCAGTTCCCCATCATGCTTTGGGTGATACATGTAATGTTGCCAGTGAGTTATCTGTTGGGTACACATGGACACTATTTTGACATGCATTTATTCACATCTCAACCCTAAAAAGTCATGCTGCATTAGCATTTGCACCCTAACTGTGGATGTGCAGACAAGCTTCACTGGACTGATTTGATACTAAAGAAAACCGTTTGAAAACACTCACAAGTTTGAAAACACTCAAAAGTGTGTTACAAGGACTGTCTTTTGTTCTATGTTTTATAATCTGATTTATGACTACAAATCTGTAATGGACAGCCACTTTTATGGTAAGTGACTTTAGGATATGTAGTACTACAATGTAAATGGAAAAACAGCTAAGCAAGAAAGAAATAGTAAGGGTATTCTTTATACTCTGATTAGTTAATTTGTGGGTTGTTGTAGCAGCAGTCACATTGTGACAATTTTCTTCTAGATTTTAACACTGAATTGTGTGAATGTAGCCTGTCTTCAACCTCTAAAGCTCTAAAACAGTTGATGGCTGTGGCTCAGTGGTATAGGACTACTAGCCCTTTTTAGATAGGAACTGTGCAAATTTGCAGGAAAGCCCAATCAGTCTTCTTTCAGCATTGGCAGTATAAAAACAAAATCGGGGAGTGCGGTAAAATGCCGCCTACCTACTTTTGTTTATACAGAATGTGCCTTTTTCGGGGCAATGGGGGGCGTGAGCAAGTAACAAAACGCAAAAGCAGTATCAGCTCAGCATGTGACATAAACAGTGACGTGGGAGGGAAGCCGCAGCTAGTCAGGCGGCGATTCTCTCGTAAATCGGCCCGTCCTTCACCGTCCCCATCATCTGACGGTTAATGGCCTCTTCGTTTGCGAGGGCAAGGAGGGCGCACAATGCAATTAGAAGTGAGCATAACAATGTGTGACAATCTTACCAGTTTAAACATAATTTAAAAGCAACTCTAGCTATGAAATTCAATAATCTGGCCTTTTCTAAAAGAAAAATAACCTCTGCATTGTCTACATCTCAGTGTGCTCTGATGAGGAAGATGAACTCACATTTTGAAGACCTTCTTCCTAGGTGCTCATTGTCAACAGTGTCACTAGACCACTCCACCTTCTTCTCAGTCTTCCTCTTCCTCAGCTTGATTGTCAGGCTTCGTCCCTCCTGTTACATGTAAGAGATCTTGCTGTGAGATACTGGCCATTGAATGTAAACTGGACATTGTTTTATTGTGTCATCACACAGCAAGACTGTACTGTATGTCAAGTACTCAAATTCTCAAGGCTCTGCTTTGCAGTTCATGTACATGGGACCTGGGCAAATGCAAATGCAAAATTATTTGGAAGCAATATCTGCAGTAAGCAGTCAACAACAGGGAACATTCAGGATTGTTGTTCCGTTCCCTTTAAACAAATACTATGTCAGCCTATTGTAGAAGCTAATTTATCAATTATACAACAGCTAGTTCCGGCCCTGCAATCTGATTGGTCGAGAGACAGTAAAACCGTGATAATATTGGAGTACAACGTCACGGTTATTTCACTGTGTATGTATCACTCCGCCTCACAGCTGATTGCAATCAACAATCAAATCAAAACTGACGGTTAGTGTCAGTTAGGTCAGCAGTTGCGTTGTAGGCTAATTAATTCATCCACTGTCAAACAGCCAAAAATATGGATTTTTTTCCTAAAATAAGTTTTGAATTGAACTATGAATGGTCATCAGAGGAAGATGAGGGAGAGGAGAAGCTGAATCCATCTGAGCACACATCCAGGTTTGTCAGTGTTTCATCAGTGGAGCTCAATGACTTGGAGAAAAGCAACATACTGTCAGATCAGAAGGCAGAGTCAGCTGTGCCTGTGAAGCGACAGTCCACCATGCAGTCACCAGAGACTTTTTTCACCGGCTGCACAATTAATGGAAACGTGCAGATAAATGTGTATAAAGAGTAAGTGCCTGGCGCACCATGTCTGCGTTACATAGCAACGGTGACAGCAGAGTCCTGAGGGAACTATTTTTGTTGGCGGAAGACAAATAAAATGCTTAAATTATCTATTTTGTCCTCATTTTTCAACATTTCTTAATCAGCCTTGCTTATTTAACTGTTGAACTGCTGTATAAAAGCAATATCACACTCGAGCTCGTGATGTTGTACTGTGATATCATCATCATCATGTGATTGTCTTCGCCTACGACCGAATCACAGGCGTGACGATATCACAGTACAACATCACTCCCTCTCGTGTGATATAGCTTAAATAGAACATAGTCCACTTGACTATAAAATAAAGTTGATTTTTGCACTTTATTCATGAAACAATACATTGCTCATTTCAACATTATAACCTTATCTGTTGATGTCACTCAATTATTTGCATTTTATACATATAATATCACCTTCATATTTTCTTTATATTGGTAATCAGGTTTTATAGTTTTATATATATGGTGTGAATGCATAGTTTGAAAGCATGTGCCATGGAAAAAATGACATGATACCAGATTTCTGGAGATTATAGACTGGAATTTTCAATGTGATTGATTCCTTATTGAACACGATGCACGTATTGTGAATCACAGAGGATTTGTTCAGTGAAAGGGGAAGATCATCAAAGCGGCTGGCACACATTCCCATCCTCACTCACAGGTGCTGCAATGAATAGAAACTGATAGCTGCCTGGGGAGCTATTCTCCTAAAAAGAACGACCATATGCTTTATACAGTTTGTGGTTTATGGGTCAGAACAGTAAGTTCCCTAAAATAAAGCCTGGTGCAGACCATAATAATCCTGGTTTGAATGTAAGAAGTTGTTTTTTTCCTTTTCCTTTGCAACATTATTATATTTTCAATTTTTTGTCAGTTTTCATCCGTGTAAATGAATAATGTTATATATGTCACTCTGTTTATCAGCTAAAAACAGCCGTGTTTGTTGTTATGTGGTGACATGTACACAGTATGAGTTGATTTTGTCATTACGAGGAGGAGGAGGGGATGGGGATGGAGTGAGACCAAAAAACTTTATTCATTAGTGTAGCATCGGGGCATATCAGGCAACATTTCTGCTCCCAAATGTGGGTGTTTTCTAGCGATCTGTCGCTACAGTTCCAAGACAGTTTTAACCCGAACATGGGTGTTTTTTGGTGGCCTGTTGCTGCAGTTTGAGACTGATTTCTGCCCTCAAACGTGGGTGTTTTTTAGTGACATGTCAGTGCATTTCCAGGATGGTTTCTGCCCCCAGATGTGACTGTTTTTTAGTGGCCCCTTGCTGCATTTCAGGGGTGTTTCTGTCCCCAAACAAGGGTGTTATGTAGTGACCCATATCTGCGTTTCCAGCATGCAGCAAAGTGTCCTGGACCAGACATGAACCCAGGCTGCTGGAGTAAGGACTCAGCCTTAATGGCATGCATTCTGCACGGTGAGCTACAAGAGTGCCAAAAGTGGTTGTTTCTTTTCCAAGCCATCGCCACTTTTCCAGCAGGGATTACGCCACCAACACCAGGTATTTGAAGCCAAAACATAATCTTTTCCGAGCCATAAACAAATGGATTTTGTCCCTAAACATAACCACACATTAACCACAGCGTTGTTGAAACATAAAGAAACTTGTTTTTCCAACTGGCGTTTAACAGGTTACAACAGCATACTGAACACACTAGTTGGTGAAGCAGAAGCCTTCTGATCTATATCTATAACGTCGATAACAACAACTGTTTGCTTCAAACTGCATCTTGAGGAACAAGTAAAGCATTGTGAAATTGAAAAAATTGATTTGTGGATTTAAAACTACCTCGACGTGTTGCTGAAAACATTATGAATGTTTGAAAACTGCTTGGACTGATGACATAAAAAGAAATTAATTCCCTGAGGGCACTGTCTACATATAAGCAACTGATGTTTTGCTTGTTTTGTTTTGTCTTGTCTCGTCCACCATTCTTGGGCAGGCTGGTCGCTTCTGTTTGACCTCATACTGCCCCATGATCCATCAGTAGTTAATAATGTTTATGTTAAATGACATGTGGGTGTTAAGGCCCGGATGATCCACCTCTGTTTGTTCCGGAATTTAAGAACATCCTATTGTCTCATTTTACGGCACTCTGGATGAGGGGGTGAGCTAAATGTCTAAAAATAAAATGGTCTATTCTGCTAAGCTGTCATTGGAATTCATCCCAGTCCAAAAAAAGTGCAAACTGACAAAAAAAATGATGGGGTGCAATTCCAGTTATGAGATTTGTAAAATGGATAAATCTCCGACAAGAATTTTGTGTATCATCTCCCACCCTCATGATCCATCCTATTTACTATTTTGTGTCTCTTTCAAATATCAGCCAAGAGGATAGTGGCCTTAGCCAAGAACAGCACATAATATGTAGCCCACATTTTTACATCATCTCCCTTAAACCTTCACACATACGCACTTCGTCTGGGTTTGGAAACTGGAAATAGTGTTGGATTTTAAAATCAGGCTATCACTTACAGCATGGGAGCCATTCGCCTGCCAACCCCCCAGTGCCCTATGGAGCTTACATGCGTCATAGGGAGTGCTTGTTGGCATCTATGTGATATTCATAGTCCAATGGGAATGAAAAAGACAAATGAGCCCATAACAACTCATTTCTTGATATGAGTCATGTTTAAATTAAATCTGTATTTCTTTCTAAATATTGCGCATAAGGGTCACTTTACAATAATCATACTTAGAAATTGTTTATAGGTTCCCACTGACACCCTTATTAATATTAATAGCATTCAATACAGATTATTACTTCAGCAGCATTAGCTGTTCATTCTAAAATAACCCATAATTACGTTTTCTCGATAAAACATCTCGCAGCTCTGCGAATACTCACTTTCACTGAAGAAAAACTGGATCACTGGCCACTTTGTGTGATTATGTAGTAGGCTCTTATTATTAGGCTCACACTATTGATTTCTTCAAAGTAGTTATGTGTCTAAACTCATCTAAGGTTGAAGAAAGTGTTGCCGATGTGTCTTCGTCCTATGAATGGGGGACCAGATCAGCAAAACGCTGATATGAGTCATTTTGTAATGAACTGAGCTTCTAGTAGAGCTGTTCAAATACATAACAACCCTTATTCATTCAGCCTAAATGTTCCATAGCCACACAATTATTCTGTGGGCAAGTTGACACAGTAATGCAAAGTATCACACACACTAGTGCCAGCAGAGAATGGACTCAAAAGTAACACTCACTGACAGAATGAAAGAAGAAAAGAAAGAAGTCTTTATTTGTACACAGTTGTATACACAGGAGACAGTCTGGAAAATATCAGGCAGAAGGATCCAAAGAAAAGCAAATCAGTTTCAAAGTTTAATGCACAGAAACGTAGTCAAAAACACAAGGTGATCACTCAGGAAAAACAATGCTGCAATGCTTACTAAACAGACAAGATGAACTGACACAGACAGAGGAGATTTTCCATCTTCAATAACTGTATCAAAAAATAACATGGTTTCACGGCATTACACATCTATTATTATTATTATCATCACTGTGATTGTTATTACCAGTGTCAATGACCCTTAAAGGAGTGGGAATATTTGTTTGGTTGAACAACTTTTCAGTATAGTTGAAAATTTAAACCATTTTAATGTAGAAGTATGTCTAACTGTCGAGGAGGAAAGGAGAGGCGAACATGTGGGTGAGATTCTTTGTCTGATTGTATTTTTTTTCAACACTGTAGATAAACAAATGTACACTTCTGCAAAGAGCACACAGACTAAATACACATGGGAGGAAGGTCACAATGAGGGACAGAAGACAGGATGAGGAATAGGTGAAAGACATCAGGGCAGGTCAGACAATCACTAAGGTGGGAATACACTCAACACACAGGAAGTAAAACAAGACATGACACATACGGTGAGTATATGACACATAAACCGGCAACATAAAACATGAATAAATAAATGAATGACACAAGGAGCAAACTCAAAACAACAAAACCCTCTTGATACGCTAAATGCTGGAGTGAAAACACAGGGATGAAATTAAGAACAGATAAACTCAAACAAGCAACTAAAAGATATGATGCTATACAGTCATTAACAAAAAGTCTTCATATGGTGCGTCTATTGCATTCTGAAGACTGGCATTTGAAATCAACAATTTAAGAAATATTTTGGATGTTTTATTTGTCAGAGAAGCCAATTTCACATTTGTTTAGTCAAAGGGCTGTTAAGTAATGTATGATTTGTATCAATGACCAATAATAAGAGTTGCAAAGTCAGCAGCACTCTCTCTTTTACACAACCCCAGTCTGTCTCATCTCCCACCTTAAGCCCCATTTCCACCAAGCAGTACAGTACAGTTCAGTTCAGTTCGGTACGCGTTTTTTTCTGTTTCCACTGTGAAAAGTTGTGGATGGCACCAATGGAACTGTTCCGTACCATAACCATTTTTGGTCCCCCCTCTGTACCTAGCACACAGATCTGGTACTGAAAGGTGGAGCCGTGGACACTGCAGTCTGTTGATTGGTCAATAGAGGACGGTCACTCTGCTCAGGGCTGAGTTGTGGCTGGTTTTGAGGCTCATGTAACTACTGTTCATATTATGGAGAGTTTAGTTAGTAGACTGAAACTATAAAATGAAAGAGTGTTTTGCTGCCCCTCACAGCAGCTGGAGTCAGAGAAAAAAATAACTTCATTCACTGGGTCGTGTGACGGTGACTTTTAAGGTGGAACGCTAACTTGTAATCTTACTCAATGCAAGAGGTGACGATGTGAATCCATCAACACACCTTAAATTTCACTGTGACAACTTTGACCATCACTTTAGTTTTTATATGACATACACTTTTAGTGATGAGTGGATCTTCAAGCATTTATATGTATTAATTTTGACCATGTGAACTGCATATATTCTAATCCTTACTTGCAGAAAAACAAAAAGCATTGTGGAGAGTCGTTCCTGCAGGCTATGGAGCACTAAACCCCTGAGCTTGCCTGAGAAGGACTAAATGCACAAAGCCATTATTTTTAAATATCCCATGGAGAGAGACTCTAACTGCAGCCTGTTTTATTCTGTTCTGANGTAGATTGGAACATTGGTACATTTTTCTTTATAAGGCCATATTGTGTGATTTGCCTTCTTATTTATGTTCTCTCTTGATTCCTAAAGTCGCCAGGAGCTGTAATCTTCGGTCAGATGGACAAATTATGTATGTCGTTCCTCAAACACAAACTGTCTTTGGTGAAAGTGCCTTTAAAGTATTCGCACCCTCGTCCTGGTGTGAGTTACAGAGACATTTTAAAATGGATTACCTGCCATGTATGGAACATTTTAAAAGTAGGATTAAGGACTATTTGAGTACTGAATGCACATGTCCTGTTATTGAGCACTGCTGGTGATTACTGTCTTGAAGTGAATTGCCAACTGTTTTGTAACTGTTTGTTTCATGTTGTCTGTTTTAACCTATTGTGTTTTTTAGTGCAACTATTATGCTGCTGTCTTGGCCAGGACTCCCTTGCAAAAGAGATTCTGAATCTCAGTGGAACTATTTCCTGGTAAAATAAAGGTTAAAATAAAAAAAATAAAAAAACATATACACACACACACACACACACACACATATATATATATATACATATATATATACACACACACACACACACACATATATATGTGTGTGTGTGTGTATGTGTGTGTGTGTGTGTGTATGTACATTGTATTGGTATTTATACATATGCATAGTCTGAAATATAATTATCTGTTAAAGCATTAAGGACGCATTCACACTGGCGCTATTTGGTCCACCTTAAACAAACCCTGGTCCGCTTTCAGTTCGTTTGGAGTGGTGTGAACGCTTATTAGAACTCTGGTGTGGACCAAACGAGCAAACTCTGGTCTGCTTGAAAACTGGGGGTCTTAATTCACTTGCAAGTGAACCCTCGTGCGGTTCGCTTACAGTGGGAAATGAAAACCGACTATCCAGCAAACCAAAGAGAGGAAGTGAACCAAAGAGAAGAAGTGACGTAGAGAGCATTGCATTTTGACGTTTGGTGTTTTTGTGGTGACCAAGCCGGCTGAAGGGGATGGATTTCTGTTTTTGGTCCTGGCCAATTGATTCTTCCTGGTCAGTGGTCGTTTTGGGCAATACCGCACCCAAACAAGCAGCTGTTGTAACTGTGTGACGTTGTCCAGGCAGTTTGGTCCACTTTAAAAAGTGCAGTGTGAAATGAAGGTGTGAAATTTTTTGGCATTCCCCACTAAATCAAACCGAGTTCCTGGGACTGTCCTGGTGTGAATGCGCCCTTAGATTTCTTTTCATTAATAGGCAAAGGCCAAACCAGGAAAAACAGAACCAGACCTGAAGCATATGGACATGGATGTCCACATTTTGACTTTACACACTAAACTACTGTAGATGCATGATTGTTTATACTGTAATCACTGCTTTTTCAGCGACCTCCAGGCTCATGGAGTGGCACGTCTCAGTCAGGTCTGAATATGATATGATATGAATTGCGTTTTTTCTCCAGCCCTGATGAAGACCAACAGTGGTCGAAACATGTTGGCTTTTTAATGAGTTGGCCATTATATTAAAGCCTTTTAAACCTAATCTTTCCTTCCTCATTCTCATTTTTGTTTTGAGTGCCTGGATTCTTTTCCTGTTTGCAGTATTTTGGAGTTCCCTCCTTTTTTCCAAGAGCATCTGATACATTTTTGGATCTACACTCTACAACACAGAGCAACCAGTTATCTGTTTTTCTATGATATGATTTGACTTGATATATTTATTGCTGCTTTAGGAAGTAGTCTGTTTTTCATATCATTAACGTTGCTGACAGGAGGACCTCAGTTCAATACCTGGTGTGTGCCTAGAATCAAATCTTGACCACAACCTGCAATCCCAATCAAAGGATTACTGTTAAAGGAATAGTTCAGAATTTTTTTAAGTGGGGTTGTATGGAATACTTATTCATAGTCAGTGTATTAAAAAGAATTGATGTCAGTTGGTATGCCCCCCGTTTGGAGAAGCAGCCTGGAGTCCAACACAACAACTAAGAAATGAACTGCTGTGGTTGGTGTTCAGCAGCGGAATGCAGTTTAGCCCCTAAAAAAAGTCCCACCTAAAAAACTGATTGTCAGTTTAAGAATGTGCAGAGGTTTTAGCCTGCTGAACACAGGAGCTGCCTTGATCAGTTAGTTAGTATGTGTTATTGCTTGACTTTGGTGAATCTAAACTAACCCTTTAAAATGGCAAAGTCACACAATAAGACAAACAAAATAATTGATCGAAGCAGCAGTAGACCAGCAGCTCCTGTGTTCAGCCATGTTTAATCACTGTTTTCCTCAATGGAGACCGGCCCTGAGGAGAGCAATATAACTGCTTCATTTTCCAGTTGGAAATCTCTGTCTGACATTAAAGTGAAGCAGTGAAAATAATCTCAATACAGTTTACACTTGAACTAATATTCTTTTTTTGTTTAATGAGACTTTTTTTTTTAAGGTGGCTAAAGTATATTTTGTTCCTGCCCCCATCCACAGTGATGCATTGCTTAGCTTCCATGACTCCAGCCTGCTTCTCCAAACTGGGGGCATGCCAACTGACATCTACTGTATGTAACAATACAAAAATACAAAACACAAAACAACAATACTGACTACGGATAAGCACCCCATACAGCCCCGCTTCAAAAAATTTGAACTGTCCCTTTAATTTAACTCACCAAGGGGTTCCTGAGGTTTCTACCGTTTTTTTCCCCCGTTAAAGGGGTTTTTTTGGGGAGTTTTTCCTTATCCGCTGTGAGGGTCCAAAGGACAGAGGGATGTTGTATGCTGTAAAGCCCTGTGAGGCAAATTGTTATTTGTGATATTGGGCTTTATAAATAAAATTGATTGAAAATTGATTGAGGGGCAGCCCCCTCACTCTGACATCTCTCCACTTTGTGCATGTATAGGTCCTGTTGTTCATGTGTGTGTCTTTCGGACCTGTGTGTAATTGACAAGCAAGAGTGAAAACATTGAATTTCCCCTCAGGGGGATTAATAAAGCAAATAAACTTATAAACTTAAACTTAATTCATAACGTTACACGAGAACATTTGACACATTACGCACGGGCATATACGCTTGCGATAATGTCAGCAGTACTTATCTAACATCGTAACTAGTAATGTAATTTTAGAGGATATTAAGTTAAGTGACACTTGGGCCTAGCGAAGGTTCACAAGGCAGGACTGAGAGCCATGTTTCGGGTTGATAACATGAACGCAGCGCGGCCTGGTTACAGCTGGAAACAACTGAACGGGTTTTTGGTCTGCAGTTCCACCAGGTAAGCAAAACAAGACCAGCCTGCTTACCTGCTGGGGCGGCGGCGGTGTGCTAGTCTGAACAGTCTCCGTTATCGTCTCACTTGATGTCCCGGGAACGTCTGCCATCCCTGGAGCTGCTTTGCTAACGCTACCGTTAGCTAGCTTTAAAATGTTTAAGTGCCGAAGTTGACCGTCAGTGATAGACAGTGTCTGTAATATAATGATAGCTTCAATGACAGACCCGTCTCCTGTAAACCGTAAAGTGTATTAAAATTAAAAGGTTGTGAAAGTAAATATTATGAAGCGTTGAGCACTACGGTGAGATGTGGTTAACACAAAGTCAAGCTGTAAAATAAGATGTTCTGTCTCAAAACGGAAGTTTAATGTTTTCACGCCAAAATGATTATCAGCTATATTGCACTACGTTAAAAAAAATGCCACGCCAAACTCCTGTGTGATTTCATAATATTATGTATGCAATGAAACAGCATTTAGGACATTAATGGTAAGTTACATTTTTAGTGATTTCTTTTTCCATACGTCGTTTTATTTTCAAATGTAGGCAGGATGCTTCGTTTCTTTTACAGCAGTAGTGTTGTGGGGAAGACATTTCCAGACGGACAGTAGGTATTTCCTGTTGTCCGTTAAGTTTTAACACTCCGTCAACAAGCAGAATCCACATGCGGAGAATAGAATTTAAAAGTACATTTTGTGACAGAATAATATTAAATTACATTTTTCTACGAGGTTACACTGTTCTTTAAGGTTTACTTATAACCAGCACCATTATAGACATGCACATTCTCTGGCTTATAACATTAGTAACATGGCGGCAAAGTTAAAAGGTCGTGGCTAGCATTTCTGAGCACAGTAAGTAAAGTTCGCTACGTGAAATATTACCTACTGTGATTGCAGATCAATTATTTATTATCTAATTTCTCTGAATCAACTGTGCTTCTGTGCTTGTTTTGTGCGTAGTGTGTTACTGAGGATGTGGAGGGCAGGTCGTGTCCTGAGTTTGAGGCTGGTGGAGAGAGGAGCTGCCAGACACCACAGCAACACACCGAAACCTCCATCCCTCTCTTCATCCTCTCGACGCCCCCAAGCAGAGAAACAGAGGCGTAGAAGAGAGCGGGAGGAGGCCATATTGTCAAATCAACACAGTGTAAGTAGCGCAGAAGCATTGGGAAAAGAAAATAGCTGCGAACATTTCCATCCAGAGCAAAATAAATGGAGTCTAAGATTCTGAATTAAATCTTTGTCAAACGGTCCATGAGGAAATAATATTATAGTGATGACATCACTGTATGTTTGAGAGATAAAGATGCTGAAACTGTGGAAGATGTTTCCCCCAAAATAATTTTGTATGGACACCCTCGGTCCAACTGTGTAATGTTGCATTCAATAAGACCTGTTAAAGCTGCTGTATCACTAAGGAGAAAAGCCTGGAGTTCATGATCAACCATGTGGTAATGTTTGGTTTGTAGTTAAAGGGGCAATAAGTGAAATTCACCATTTCTAGACTGAAGGAATTAAAAAATCGCTGGAGTATAGCATGACCTCACACACCCTCTCTCTATGTTAATCTCCAGCCCCTTGTTTACAAGCTGGTCTGGCTGTGCGTTCATGTACAGTACAGGCCAAAAGTTTGGACACACCTTCTCATTCAATGCGTTTTCTTTATTTTCATGACTATTTACATTGTAGATTCTCACTGAAGGCATCAAAACTATGAATGAACACATGTGGAGTTATGTACTTAACAAAAAAAGGTGAAATAACTGAAAACATGTTTTATATTCTAGTTTCTTCAAAATAGCCACCCTTTGCTCTGATTACTGCTTTGCACACTCTTGGCATTCTCTCCATGAGCTTCAAGAGGTAGTCACCTGAAATGGTTT